GGCCAAGCACACTGACACAATATTTAACATGGTTCGGCAAATAGCTTACATCCACGGGAAAAATTAATATATTTAGAGATAGAGAAAAAATACAAACATATACATGGAGGAGGAGGATTACACCCTCTCATACTCAACTCTCAACTTTTTTTGCTGCCCTTGCAGCTCTCTTTTCCTCTCTACTCTCTTCACATTTTCACAATTCTCTTCACTCTCAGTTTGTTCTCTTGCATATGCTTTTATTTATAGGCATTAATGGAGATTTTTCTTCAATAAAGGTGGCTGTCAACTCCAACTCTTCTTCAACAATGATGGCTGCCAACCTTTGATATCTTGGATGAGTGCACATGGTTGATACAATAACAAATGGTTGTTGTACATTAATGACAACAAACCTAACAAAATATTAGACATAAATAAAAGTAGTAGTTGATTAATTTAACGGAAAGTATGTTCAACAAAATTTCTACAGCTAGTAATTCTTCACCTTCAAGACCTAACTCGGCCAATTTAATGCAGCCCCCAGCATGCAGGAGCTCACCAACAATTCTGTCGGGCTCAGTCAAGTCTCTTTCAATAACTTGCACGCGCCATCCATCCTGCAGTTGTAGGAGAAGACAAGGTTGCTGTTGCTTAGCACACACAGAACAACAATAGCTCTGCTTACTAGGTTTTGGTCTTTGAATTAGAAGCAAGATCAGGCACTTAGAGTTAACTGTTTTACCATTGTGAAAGAGGTTATTACCTTTGCGAGAGCATAAGCAAGAGCTGAACCAGCAACACCAGCTCCTACGATGATCACATCAGTATTTCCAGCAAAATTTGATCTGCACACTCCATTTCCAGAGCTTTTCAAAGTTTTCTTGCTTCGATTTTTCTCTGAAGCTTTGATATTCTCTCTCAATTTTAATTTGTATTTTTAAGTTTTATCCGCCTTTAGGAACCACATGCATTCTATCACTTTCCCCTTATCAATGGACACGCTTGATTGCATTCTTGGGGCTCCACTTGCTGGCCATCAGGTGACATGACAGTATGATGGAGATGTCTAGCTACTGCTCAAAGTCCAAACAACAACAGCACTGCTAACTAGAACAAGAAAAAAATGCATCTTGCTAAAATGAGATAGAAGTCAATTTTGACGGTTCCATTGAGTTTTCAAATTTCCTATCAAATTGGACTAAGTTGAAAATAGCTAAGGTCTTAAATCATGCTTTGCAATCAAAATAGCTAGGTAGCCGGTGGGCAAATTTTATCTCCTAGGTGCTGTTTTTCTGTGTTTTAAAAATATTTTAAAAAAAATTTAATTTTTTTATTTTTTATTAATTTTAAATTAATAT